GACATACTGGTAATGTTTAGTACATTTAAACAACTTGTGTTGGATAGTAAACAGACGAAAGTAACTTACTTTTACTGAATTGGTTCTGTTAAGTTTTGCTTAATTTATTGTAGATGTAAATTATTTATTATAAGAAAACAGAATATATTCCCAAAAATGTGATTTTTTTTCCTTGATTTTTCCATTTAATATTAATTTAGCTATGTGTACAAAGCTGTATTTTAAATTTTAACATCATTAGACATATTGACTTTGTATATTTACTTCGTAGCGAGAGTTCCTGGTTATGAACCTGTTGTACTAGAAACGCCGTTCTACTTCCGCTTATACTTTGTTGTACCCGTCGTTGCTTCAATTACAGTAATTCTGTGTGTGATCATTATAGCTTGGGCTTGTCTGAAGAAAACACATTATAATGAAGGTAAGTACCTTAAGCACATGTTTTAACAACACTAGGCTTATAAACCTTTCTTCAAATACATGGATATGGAACACGTCATTAATAGGGATACTAATAAAAACATTATTTCGCTAACAGGCCGAAAAGCACAACTCTACGTCAGCTATCAGCAACGACTCACTTACGTTCCTCCTTCCGAGGTGTCTCGCGACAGCCGTGCTGGCGATGCTGCTTATGATGTTCCCTGGGACTTCCCTAATGGCAGAGGAACTATGGTAATAGTCAGATTTGGTCTCAAGTTTAACTTTGGTCATAATATTTCAATAATAAACTTGTAGTAGTTGAGGTTGTCAGAGCAGCTACACAGTTAATCTGTTTAATCTGTTTGTTACAGATAACATAAATGGATAGAAGAAACAACAACAAAAGGTAAAAAGATGAAAGGCATGTTAATTGGATTTGTTTCACGTCACTTATTTTTGTTTTCTGAATTTAAATACTTGCCTCAGTATGATAACCCTGCATGACACACAGTTTAGTGTGTGGTTTTTTTTTGAGTTTCATTTTATTGCTGCCAGACTTAAACACAAGTATATTTGTAAAGATATAAATCAAATTTTTTGTGAAAATTCAAAGCAACCAAGAAATTCGTGAGTGTTAACAGTGGAATTCTTCTCTGTGGTTGGTGTATCATTAAATTAGAAATATAAAGTTTTCAGATTATATAAAGTGTTAATGCTGGAAATAGTAATTCTAATTTTTTCTTTTTTGTAGGGAAGAGAGAGGACAAACTATGTGAAGCTAAAACAAGGACAGATATATGTATAGAGGATGTAAATCTTAGTCACTATCTACTGCTTTGACAACAACCTATTTTACTGCTTTCTCTACCAATTATGAAGTGATCGCTGTGAATATTAGACAATCCCTCTTCTCTACTTTTGTATGATAGTTTCAAATATGGGAAGGAAATCTCCATTTTCCTGGAGTTAAAACCAAGTTTGTCTTGTTTCCATTGCATTATATTATAATGAAAATATATATATTTTTAAATCAACAAGTTTATTTAAAAAAATTAAAATCCCAGACCCTAGTGATCACGATATTTCACTCCTGCATCATAGATTCACATTCAACCTTTAAGCTATCCACAGTCTCACGATATCTTAAACAGATGATTTACTCCTAAACCTTGCTGTCGTGTCTTTAAAGTTGTCGTGATCAAGGAGATTTCTTTAATTATGTTTATGAATAGTTTGTTTTCAAGTAGGATGCAGTGGCTCAAGAAACACTTGTTTAATTTTCATTAAAGTTGAAACTGCATCGGATCTGAATGTTGGACTCTCATCCTTATTAACAGATGAGACTTTATAGTCAGCATGGAGTTAGTAAATCTCACTTTGGAAAAATTACATGATACATTAGGATGGAGTTGGTAACCTATTGAAGACCTCATTCACTATGTTTACATTGTTGCCCGTAATAAACTTGATAGACTTAAGAGATGTTGTTTACTAGCTCAGCTGTTTAATGTTCACCTGTTCCTGATCTAGACACAGTTGTGTGATGTTTTGTAGTGGATAATAAATAATCAAGAATTATTCTACATTACCATTACGTTCTCTTGTAAATTAATCTAAGCTCATGTTTCTAGCTGTTCTATTATAGATATACGTGGAACGTTGTAGCCTTCAATAATAATAGTGGTAGAAAACGTGGAACAAAAAATATATATACTTGTAAGGTTTGAAAACTTTCAGTGTTGTGGTACTGCTGTTTGATAGTGTATTATTATCAGTTGTTGGTTTAGTTTTGTAGTTCTGCTGTCTGATAGTGTATTATTATCAGTTGTTGGTTTAGTTTTGTGTTACTGCTGTCCAATAGTGTACTATTATCAGTTGTTGGTTTAGTTTTGTGGTACTGCTGTTTGATAGTGTATTATTATCAGTTGTTGGTTTAGTTTTGTTGTACTGCTGTCTGATAGTGTATTATTATCAGTTGTTGGTTTAGTTTTGTAGTTCTGCTGTCTGATAGTGTATTATTATCAGTTGTTGGTTTAGTTTTGTGGTACTGCTGTCTGATAGTGTACTATTATCAGTTGTTGGTTTAGTTTGATGGTACTGCTGTCTGATAGTGTATTATTATCAATTGTTGGTTTAGTTTAGTATATACTTGTATGTATATGAACTAAACTTTTAATTCTGTATTTTGTAAAATCAATGTACAGCTAGTCCTACAATATTAGGAATATCACTTTATACACAGATAAAATGTATTTGAATGTTATCACTAATAATATTATACCATTACAGTAGCTTTTGAAAGGTTCACAGAAACACATTCTTCATGACCAACTGTAAGCACATAAGATGTTTGTGTGATTATATAACAGTGGAAACAAAGGACAACTTGTTTAAATTCCATATTGAAAATACTTTACTTATATTTAGGTTTGATGTTTTAAACAATAACTATCATTTTGTAGAGTCTGATACACGTCAAAGATGTTCATTTTTATTGTATAAAAAGTGTATGTGTCATTTTCATATTGAACTTAACAAATAAAGAGAGAAAAACTTCCGAGTGTCTATGTTCCAACTTTAATAAACCACAGAAGGTATTCAGTTAATCATTGAAGGAATATTCAGAATGATCAAAAAAGCTTACACTTCCTAAAGTTAGAGAAATCAATCTAATAAGGTGTTTTATAATATGTAAACATAAATTGTCATGTTGGATGACGAAAGCACCAAAATAACATGCTTTGATGATTGATATATATCACAGTAAAATATATTTTAAGGTTTGAAACTTTGAACAAATAAATTACACATGGAAATACATTTTTATATTTTAATGAATTCGAATAACTTTACAGAAGTTTTAAAAATCATTTTAACTGTTCTTGAGAAAGAACTTTAAATCAAATAGCGGTTTCACCTATTAAGATAAAAGGAACTTGAATCAAGAACACGAGTGCAGTTTTATCGACTCATAAATGTGTGAATCGAGTCTTTCGTAAAGTCTACAAGATAGAGGTTCATGTGAATGTGTGAATCGAGTCTTTCGTAAAGTCTACAAGGTAGAGGTTGATGTGTATGTGTGAATCGAGTCTTTCGTAAAGTCTACAAGGTAGAGGTTGATGTGAATGTGTGAATCGAGTCTTTCATAAAGTCTACAAGGTAGAGGTTGATGTGAATGTGTGAATCGAGTCTTTCGTAAAGTCTACAAGGTAGAGGTTGATGTGAATGTGTGAATCGAGTCTTTCGTAAAGTCTACAAGATATAGGTTGATGTGAATGTGTGAATCGAGTCTTTTGTAAAGTCTACAAGGTAGAGGTTGATGTGAATGTGTGAATCGAGTCTTTTGTAAAGTCTACAAGGTAGAGGTTGATGTGAATGTGTGAATCTAGTCTTTTGTAAAGTCTAAAAGATAGAGGTTGATGTGAAGGTATTGTTCTAATGTGAGTTCTATCTTAATAAATACAGAAAACTCTGAATCCTTGTTCTTTAGTCTGTCTCTTTGAGACAAACACAAAATGAGTCAACCAACAATGAAGACCTCAACCAATTTGTCACTGCTCTTGATAACCATCCTTAACAAAGACCTCAACCAATTTGTCACTG